AATAATAATATGTATGGCTCTTTTCGTCTGTGCAAATGGTCAGTTTAGCTTAAGATGGTCTCAAGGCTGTCTTCATGCAGCTTCTTGGGATTTGTTATTTCTCTTAGGTCCAGGGGCAAAGAGTTCCAGCTTTTAGAGCCAAAGAATAAGAAACTTTTCTCACAAAAAGATCTCTATTTCATTTTCGGGGCTCTGAATATTGTTGCCTAAATGATGAGATGAACATCCGGCAGATATTGTAAAGCATTATTATTAGAACATGTATGACAGATGGTAGAAACGTTACATTGGATTATTTTATAACCTGCAAGCTTATAAGCTTTTTGTATATTTTTATGCAGGATCTTTTTTCTTTTTCTTCAGCGTGTTATTTTGGGCCACTTGCAATTTCCTCGTTCTCTCACATGAGATACCTGACAGAACAGAGTTGCAATCGTCGAGTTTTGATAAGAAAAGAGAGACAGAGAGCATGCATGCAACAGCATTTGAAATAAGGTCTCTTGTACTAGTTCTCTGAGTTCAAGGTACATACATCGAGTGGCACGATTACCTGTTTATTTATGGACATGTCTAAACCTAAATAGATACCAAGGTTCTTGGCCTTGCTGGAAAAGGATGTACATAGTAATTTCAATTTCTATTGACTTCTATTCACATCGTTAAGATTTTTGGAACTCCCAAATAGGGTGGTTTCCGTTGTTTCTTCATTCAGCTTTAGTTTGTTTTCATGCTTCCATTTTTTCAATTTTTCAATGCAATCCTCAACCATTCGTATAAATTCATCAACGTGTCTCAATACCCAAAACCAGGGGGAGAGAGAAATGTGGAAAACCCTTCTTTATACCCTATACCTTACACTCGGGTGAGGGAGAGGAGGGAGAGGGGGGGAGACAGAGAGAGAGAGAGACAGACAGAGAGAGAGACAGAGAGAGAGACAGAGAGAGACAGAGAGACAGAGAGACAGAGAGACAGAGAGACAGAGAAACAGAGAGACAGAGAGACAGAGAGACAGACAGAGAGGGGGGATCGGG